TGAGAGAGGAGGGGCAGCCTTGCTGCCTGATTGGCTGGTGGGGGGAGGCTTTGTGACACGCCCGGGCGCTGGCTGCTGCTCCTTCCTGGGCCAGCTGCCCCCTTGGACGGCAGGACGAGCAGGGGTGGGACTGGCCGGGACGTTGGTCCAGGTAAATGGGAAATGGGTGGCCTTCCTCCCCCTCCCAGGCTGTGGATTTCTCTGAGGTGGGGCAGGACGGGGGTCTCTAGCAGCCTGGATTTATGATGCAGGGATGCCTGGTGGGGGGGAGCGATGGGGGGGGAAGAGCAGGCTGGAATCAGCTGGTGGGAGCGCCCCCTGCTGGCACAATTCATGCTTGCAGACACCACAAGCCGGCGCGTTGCCAGCAGTGGGTGTCTCCCCCCCCTCTGTGCGCGGGTGGGTTGTTGGGTTTACCCTGGAAGCGGCTTCCGTTGCCACAGGCAAAGGAGTGGAGCTTCTCTCAGGTGGAAAGGGCCAGACTTCAGACACCGAGCATGTCCTCCACCATCGCAGTGGGGAGCGTGTGTGTGTGTGTGTGTGTGTGTGGCTGGCTGGCTGGCTGGCTGGCTGGCTGGCTGGCTGGCTGGCTGGCTGGCTGGCTGGCTGGCTGGCAGTGTCTGAGGGTCCTGCCCCCGCCCTCCGCGTTCTCTAATCTGCTTTGCATGCACCCCCCCCGGCTGTGCAGCACTGCTGTGAAAACAGTGGGGAGTGTTTGTCTTTGGTCACTGGAGGGAGGCTGTGGGGTGAAGAGTAGGCCTTGCTGGCAGCCTCCCCTCCCCTGCCCTCCCAGCTGGCCCTGGGACTTCCGCCTGGATGGCTCTGAAGCTTACGGGGAGCCCTCTGCCCCCCCCTCTGCCCATGTCTCCTCCTGCATCTGCCTGGACACCAGGAGCCACCCCAGCGGAGGACGCGGCTGCCGAGGGGTCTCCTCCCTCCCTCCCTCCTTTCTATACAGACCCATGCCCGCTTCCGCAGGCTTCTCATGGAGCTTGGTTGGCATGTGCAATGTTTCCCGAGACATGTAGACGGGGCAGGTGCCATCCTCCAGAGGTTGCCAGTTTGTAACTCCTTTGGCCCCCCACCTTGCGGACCCCGGCCAACGCAAAGCGTGGCTCCATCGGACAGCGCCTGCCTTGGCCTGGCCCCAGGCGGTTCAGGTGGTGGGGCTGGGAACGACCCTCGCTTGGGGGCAGGTCTGAGCCAGGGCGCTCTGCCCCCCCCCAATGGCAGAGTGCTTACCTCCGCCTCTTCCTCCTCCTCCTCTTTTCAGTTGGGGCATGGCCGTCAATGTGTACTCCACCTCTGTGACGAGCGAGAACTTGAGCCGCCATGATATGCTGGCATGGGTCAACGACTCGCTGCAGCTCAGCTACACCAAGATCGAGCAGCTGTGCTCAGGTACGGTGCCAGGCCCGGGGAGGGGGGGGACACTTGGTGGGGTGGGGTGGCGCTGCCCTGGCCAGACGGCTGTGGGTGGCAGAAACGGGCAGGACCTTGAGCACCCAGGGTTGGGTTTGCCAGGAACAGCGAAGCTGCCGCAGAGCTGAGTGCAGGGCGGGAAGCGGGGTGATGCTCCCCGGAGGGAGTGGAAGTGAGTCCTGGTGTGTGCATCTCTCTGTGTGTATCTGCCCCCCCCCCCACAGGTGCTGCCTACTGCCAGTTCATGGACATGCTCTTCCCAGGCTGCATCCACTTGAGGAAAGTAAAGTTCCAGGCCAAGCTGGAGCACGAGTACATCCACAACTTCAAGGTGCTGCAGGCCGCTTTCAAGAAGATGGGGGTGGATAAGGTGGGTCCTTGCCCAGCCATGGGCCTTGGAAGGCTGGGCTCAGGGAGCCAGCTGCTCAAAGTGCTTTTTTTGGGAGGGGGGCTGGCCTGGGGGCTTCCCTGTGCCCGCACTAAACCATTGACTCTTTCCTGCCAGCAGCTTTGGGGTGCTGGCTAACGTGGGGGCTTGCCTTAGGGGCTGCCTGTCCTTTGGTGTTGTGGAGGGGCCGCTGTGGGGGTGGGACCCTGTGGATCTGAACCAGGGCATCAGCAGAATAAATACCTTCCCTTGCATTGCTACACAGCATTACTATTTGTTACCTTACTGTGTGTGTTGGGGATTTTTGTATAAAAGTGGTTCAGTTGTCACTTTAAGAATCAGTCTTGTCTTAATTTGCTCTACACAGGTTATTCCAGTGGAGAAATTAGTAAAAGGGAGCTTCCAAGACAACTTGGACTTCATTCAGTGGTTTAAGAAATTCTTTGATGCCAACTACGACGGGAAGGAATATAACCCACTGCTGGCAAGGCAAGGGCAGGACGTGGCCCCCTCACCAAACCCAGGTGATCAGATCTTCAACAAATCCAAGAAACCCATTGGCACTGCAGGTAATGTGGCCAGGGGCCGCCTCCGCCCTCCGGATCTGGCCTCTCGCATGACTTCGGCTCCCTGGCCTCCAGCTTGCCAACTCCTGGGCATGGGGGGAGGGCAGGGGGGAGGCTTGGGAGGCTGCCGCCTGCTGTGTGGCATGTGGCTGCTGGAGGGCGGGGGGGGGATGCCGAGCTGGCAGGGTTTGGCTTGCCCACCCACCCACCTGTGCCCGAGAAATGATACATCGGAGCACAGAGCTGTGCAAGACCGCTGGAGCTATCGCTGCCCCCGTTACCACCCCTCCTGCAAGGTTAGCTGGAGTTTTCTCTTTTTCTGAGGCCAAGAGGGTGGCTTCTGCAGAGCCCCCCCCAACAACACCCCCTCCCCGCCAGTCACTGAGCCCCAGGCCTTTAAGGGCCCCGCTTCTTCTCTTTCTGGACAGGTCCCACCCACCGGCTGGCTCTGGCAGCTCCCAGACCCTGAAAGGCAGGGCCAGTCCTGCATCTCACACAGCCACGCACCTCCCTTTGGCTCATGGCCGGGCTTCTCAGCTGTGCCCCCCCCCCCGGAACCCCCAGCCCAGGCTTTCACCCAGCCCAAGGGAGGGACGGACAAGGCCCTATTTCCCAACAGAGGCTCCAGGGTGGGTCAGCGCGGACCCACATCCGATCCTCCTGCAGGAGCCGGTCCAGGCGGTCCAGCCAATGGCCAAGGGGGAGAGTCCATCCATGGGGGGGGAAGAGAGAGCTTTGGGTCAGGCTCGGCAGGAGGGGAACCTGGTTTCTTCTTACAAAGTTGGAAGTAAGGAGCCGCAGGGGCCACGAGGAGTGGGGCAGATTCCTGTGCTGGGTGGTGGAGGAGGAGGAGGGCCCCCCAGGAGCAGCAAAGGGGCTTGTGTGATCTCAGGGAGCTTCCTGGCGCGAGAGCTGCCTCCTGATTCTGCATGGCTGTCCCCCAACAGGGCTTGCTCGCTCGCTCGCTCGGCGGTTGGTGGCAGCGGTGCACCGGGGAGGGGCATGGGGGGGGCTGAGGGAGCGCCTTGGGCTGTGGCTTCCTTCCCTGCATGTCGCTTCAGCTGCCCCAGTGGGGCTGGGGGAGAGAAGTGCGTCCCTTGGGGAGGAGCGATGAGGTCTTGCTTCTTGGAGTTGCAGGGGTGGAGCAGAGGGCTCCTTGTGGGCTGAAGCCCAGAGAGACCCTTCTCCATGCTGGGGGCCCCTCTCAGCTGCCCTCCACGTGGCCTGTGGGTCTCACGCGGAACCTTCCTGGAGAGCCTTCCACTTGCATGGCGGGAGGGAGCCACGAAGGGGGGCTGGGGCCGGCCAGCAGGAGGGCCCCAGGGTCACGCTCCATCTCTCTGGCCTTTTTGTAAAGTCCCACAGAGAACCTCCCCGACGGGGCCCAAGAACCTGCAGAATCCGGCCCGAATGACTGTGGCCCCCAGCCACGTGGTACGGAAAAACCCTCCTTTGGCCCGGAACGGGGGCAGTGAAGCTGACGCCCAGATCCTGGAGCTGAACCAGCAGGTGCGTCAAGGGGAGAGGGGTGCAGCGGTGTGGGGGGGGGAACCAGAGCGGACCTCACGGAGACCCCTCCCCTCTTGTCACGGCCACGCTGCAAGTGGCCGGAGAAGCGGGACGTGCTTGCTTCCTGGAGAGGCCCCCTTTGGGCGGGCAGACAGGCAGCAGCCCACCCGTGCAGGAGGAGGGGGTGCCTGGCCGGGACAGCTGCCTCCGAGGGTCCACCGGCTTCGCCATCATTTGCTCCCAAGTCAGCCCCAGCTGGCCTGGCTCACGGTGGCCTCTCCTCTGGGCTCGGCCACGTTGGCCCCTTCCTGGGCCATCAGGACCCCCCCCCTGCTGCACGGGGAGTGCCTGGAGCAGGGGAACAGGGTCTCCTCCTGTTCAGGCTGGGCCGTCAGAGGGACCGCCCAGCCTCACTTCACACAGGTGGAGTTGTGGTGGGGGTGGGGGAGCTCAGGTCTGTTCCTCCCCCCCCCCAGTCAGCCATCATGAGAGTTGCTCTACTGGAGGGGATGACGTCCCACCTTGCCTTTATCTCAGGGAGGGGGTTGGTTTCCTTTCTATTCTGCTGCCGTTTGCCCGGGATGGGGACTGAGGGCAGCTTCTGGGACCCAAAGCTTGGGAAAGCAGAGAAGGCTTTTC